TATATACGTCTATAATTCGTGTATATCCAGACACATAATTCTAGGAATTGATTTGTGCATGATAATCTCTCCATTGGTCATCTCCCCAATAACTTGCATTTTTTTATCCTTTCTATTCTGAGCAAATACCATGTGATTACCATCTCAAATACATTAAACGTATACTTTTCTCCAGCCTTACAGTTGACAAGGACATCGGGAATTTTTCAATCCCTTCTTCTGGAAACCAGGAATCTGGATACGAAAACGAGGCCAACTGTTTATTCAGATCCTACAATCTTCTTTCCCGTGAATTTAGGTCGCCCTGTCAGTTCTTCCTTCCGTCCCTCCCTTCCCGTTTGATGACTGGGGTTAGTGGTTCTGCAAATGTTTAAATAAACTTGCGGTGTGCACGCTTGAGTCTTTGAAGTAAGGAAGCTAAAGTGGAACTATTTGAACGTCAGTACGGCTTCATAATACTGGGTAATTCTGGGGAAGATTAATTTGAGGGGCTACAAAAATGGCTTAAGGGTTAAGAGCACCAGCTTCTCCCACAGAGGACCCGAGTTCAATTCCCAGCCCCCACAGGAAGGTGACAACCACCCGTAACTCCAGCTCCAGGGGATACAGTGCCATTTTCTGGACTCCACAAGTACCGTACTCCCATGGTGTGCGTGCCCAATCCTGGTTCCATTCCCAGCACGCACACGGTGGTACCGTGGACTGCATGGAGGGGTGACCACACATAACTCTCGCTGCAGGGCATCCAGTGTCCCCTCCTGGCCTCCATGGCATTGCATATACACGTGGAACAGACACATACATGCAATTTAAAATAAAATAAGTTTGTGAGGCTGCGGACACAGCTCACACTCACTCACAACAGCACGCACTCACTCACTGGCCTTCGAGAGGACTCGGATTTGGCTCCGACACCACGTGGAGGCTCAAGGTCATCCATAAGTCAGTCCCAGGGGATCCAATGTCGTCTTCTGGCTTCCACAGGCATTGCATGACATGAGTGCACTTATATACATTCTACAGGCAAAACACCCGTAGCCATGGTCATGCACTGGAGCACGGTTGAGATATCTGGCCCGGCATCATTAAAGAAAGACTGACTCTCCTTCTCCTGGTATCAATCAACTGGCAACATCTCCTCACCTAACAGTGGGATGCTATGGCCTCCTCTTCCCTACATGCTGGGATTTTCTATCACTTGCAATAGCAAAGATTTAAATAAAAAAAAAAAAAAGGCCGGGCATGGTGCTGTTCACCTTTGATCCCAGAGCCAGAAGCAGGCGGAGGTCTGTGAGTTCGAGGCCAGCCTGGTCTACATAGTGAGGTCTAGGCCAGCTGGGGCTACAAGGAGACCCAGTCTCAAAAAGACCCAAAAAAAAAAAAGGACAAAAATTTGGGGATACAAAAGGGGGGTTGGAGCTGGAAAGGGCGGAATCTGGTCAAAATACATTGTGTAAAACTCTCAAGGAACTAATTAAAAAAAGGGAGAAAAAGCTTTGCTTGTGTGCAGAAATACGGCAGCTTCTGGACCCATTTTGGGAAGCAAACTAAAACTACTGGAAACAGATTTTTTTGGAAATATTTCATTTACTGTTTTTACTTTACGTGTATGAGTGTATTGCCTGCGTGTATGTGAGGGCACCCGTGTTGCGCAGCCCCGCGTATAGGTCGGGAGAGGGCTTCGGATTCCCCTGGAACCGGAGTTGAGGATGGTTGGTAGCCGCCACGCGGGTGCTGGGAATCGAACCCGGGTCCTCTGCGACAGCAGCCAGCACTATGTCTTAGTGACAACCTGAGTTCAATATAACTTTGTTAGGTTCTCCTTCCAGCATGTAGATTCCAACTAACAAAGCTGTTCTCTGACCGCCACGGCTCATTGTGGCATGTCCACACACGACACACACACAAATATTTTGTTTTCTTTTTTTTCAAACAGCTCTGTCTGGCCTCGGCCTCTGCCTCCCCAGTTCTAGGATTAAAGGCATGTGCCACCATGCCAGACAATAAATGCAATTTTTTAAAACTTTAAATAAATAGGACCCAGGGTATAGAGCTCAGTGGTATGACACTTGCCTAGCATACTCCAGGCCTAGATTAAAACCACAGCATTAGCCAGGCGTGGTGGCATACACCTGTAGTCCCAGTATCTGGGAGGGAGAGACAGGAGGATCTGAGTTCAAGGCCAGCCTGGTCCATATTGCGATTTCCAGGCCAGCTGGGGCTACAGGGAGACCCTGTCTCAAAAAGTTAAAACAAAAACAAAACAAAACAAAACAAACATTGCACAAACTAACAAAAACAAAAATCCACTAGCGTTTAACAGATAACCAAGGGGAAACAGGGAAAGGCCAGACACCAAAGCCAAAAGGGGCAGTCGAGCCTCAGCCTTCTAACAAAGCCCAACCAGCCGAACACTTTTCACCTCCCACAAGTGGGGCTCAGAACCACAGGTTCTCCGCTACTTGCCAGAATTCTGAGTAAAGAGAAGCCCCCATTTTCCTGAGAACACATTATATCAACAGTCCCTTCCTGATAGCTGAAGCTTTGGAAGCAAGCTTTCTATGCCATTACTAAAAGGCTACTATGAGAGCGGGATACAGGGCTGGGGAGACTGTTCATGCAGAGGACCCAGGTTCGGTTCCCGGCAGCCACATGGCAGTTAACACCCATCTGTAAGTCCAGCTCCAGTGGCTTCTTGATGGTCTGTTCTGGCCTTTTGGGGCATTGCACACACATGATGCACTTTGCAGGGTGCAGGGAAAACATTCATGCGGATAAAATAAAAATAAATAAATAAATAAAAATAGTTAAATAATAAATATAATAAATCAATAAAGATAAATATTTGAATAAGTGAAAAATAAATATAATAAATCAATAAATAATAGAGAAACAGAATGTATGCCTAAAAGTATTTGCTGTTAAAACACGGTCCTGAACAGAGTCTCCCTGTGACCCCGGCTGGCCCGGAGCTTGCTGGGTGGACGGTGCTGGCCTGGAGGTCAGGGAGATCTGCTGGGCTGGGATCTAGGACGTGTGTCACCACGCCCGGCTTTAGTCTTTGATTTCTTATCCCTACTTTTCCACCCTTAAAACTTCATCGTACATATATTTTTATGCAACCAGCTTCAAGTTATTCTGGAAAAAAATGTGTTAAAAATTGCCTCTCTTTGGAATAATGAAAATATTGTTAAAAACAATAATGTTTTTGGAGGAAAAAAAAAGATCCTGAAAATTGAAGCCAGATCCCACTTTGAAAGAATCAAACAAATCTCTCTCTCCTTTCTCTCTGTCTCTCTCCTCTCTGTCTCTCTCCTCTCTGTCTCTCTCCTCTCTGTCTCTCTCCTCTCTCTCTCTCCTCTCTCTCTCCTCTCTCTCCTCTCTCTCTTCTCTCTCTCCTCTCCTCTCTCTCTCCTCTCCTCTCTCTCTCCTCTCTCTCCTGTCTCTCTCCTCTCTCCTCCTGTCTCTCTCCTCTCTCTTCTCTCCCTCTCTCTCTCTCTCCTCTCTCTCCTCTCTCTCTTCTCTCTCTCCTCTCCTCTCTCTCTCCTCTCCTCTCTCTCTCCTGTCTCTCTCTCCTCTCTCTCCTCTCTCTCTCTCCACTGAGCCTGGGAGATTAGTGAGCTTTCAGGAGTGTGAGTCGTGTTCTACAAGTAGTGAGTTCCAGGACAGGTGTGGCTACAGGGGAAACCCTGTCTCA